CACTTGTGAGTGGAATACAGATTTGTTTCACGATCAGACCATTTAGAAGGTGGAAATACATTGACGATGTAGGTGAATATTACTTCGGTAGCTAAAAATTTCTGAAGACCATACGATACAATAATGAAAGTGTCTAGGGTGGTGGTGGTCCAGTGGTCTAGTCGCTGTGAACGGCGTGCTTTGGGCCCCATGGTCCGGGGTTTAAACCCAGCCACGGCTACTCAACTTTAGTCGTAGGCAGCTTTGCTATCGTCCGGTTCAATATTGCGCCTAACCTAGAGACAGGGCTTTATGTGGTTTACCAGTGCAAGTCTGGTGGGGCTCAGGTTACCGGTTTCCATCACTGAACAGCAGACGTTCGTGACTATGGGGTTCACTCCATCTGCACGGAGTATCACAGCTCCCCGAATCCGATGAAACCAACTGTCAAAAAAAATGATTTGAACGAATGGGGCTTCATTCAAGAATTGTTAGACTGCCGCAACGTCTCTACCATGGTTATTAAACGCCTTCAGTGTTCTCCCAACTATCGCGGAGATGGCCCACAAAGACTGAAAGTAACTCTTGGGGATACCAGGAATGGTAAACACGGTTCTCCAGTTATGATATGAACACAGTACTAAAGGGCCCAAAGAATTACGCGTAGGACCGAAAACATTTCCACTTGTCGAAACTATCAATCACATTTTCGCGGGAAATACTATAAACTTCATTCTCCAATTCGACCCCATCAGACCGAATCCAACAAAAGCCTACGGCAAAAAACGTCTGCCAGCCGACAACGAGGAGGTCGGCCAAATGACGCTCCTAAACTCCAAGGGATTTCTGCACCGACAACGACTGAGCTGTTTCTATACCAACTCTTAGGGTTTTCTTAATAAGTTTCCAGAAGTGGAACTACGTTGTCGGACTGGTCATTGCCGTAACCGAAACCTGATTGACGGCCGACATTTTAGACTCCGAGCTGCGATTACCAGGCATGGAGCTATTAAGGCGTGATTGTCCAACGCGAAGCTGGGGCGTATTGCTCTATTATCATAACAGCTTGCAATGCGAGCAAATTGAGTGCCCATTCGCCGCTTCAGATACGCTTTGTTGTAAATTGAAGCTAACGCAACTTGATATCGCGCTGATCGGTGTAGTCTATCGCCCTCCTTCATCAGCAGATTTATCATGAGACCTTGTTGCAAATAATGTCTTATTTCTTGTCATTGAATTTAACTCACGTTCTAATTATGAGTGACTTCAACTGCCCAAAGCTGAGGAACATGACGACGTGTACGCCGTTTGAACGACAATTTATGCAGTACATCCAGTCACATATGTGGCACAACCATATGAAGGAACCCAACATGTTTAGAAACCTACAGCCACCATCCATAATGGATTTAGTCTTGATCAACAAGGAGCTGATGGTAGAATAAGTCAATGTGACTTATTCCCTAGTACATAGCGATCACGCAGTGCTTAAATTCGAACGTTTTTTGCACTTCTATTCACAGAAGTTCCCCAGGTAACGCACACAGATCCATATACTATACACTGTTAAACAACTTGGCGTTCTCTACTCAGTGGGCTTCCAATGACGAAGAACTCAATCCGTTTGTCACCTGGTAAAAATCTATTGGCAGTCTTACCAACCTAATGACATCAGTAATACTAGAGTATTCGCCAAATCCAGCATCCGAAATTCACCTATTCGAAGCCGAACAAGGAAGTGACTTTCGACGAGAGACTAATCCTGGCAAGATTGTAATCGTCTTCTGAATATTGTCACATGGAATAATTATCGAATACTGAGAAACCACTGCACCAGGCCGATTCGTGAGGACAAACTAAAAAATCAAGAAGCACTAGAACACAGATTGATTTCTAACCCCAAGCTGTTGTATAAGAACGCTAACTCAATTCGGAAAGTAAAGTTTGGCATACCGGCACTAAGTAGCGCTGGAAGAGTTGCAGTCACTCAATCGGAAGCAGCTAAACTGGTGAAAACTCATTATTCCAATTTTTTCGCAGCACCACAAATTGAAGGTCAACGACTACCTCCCCGGTTGCATCATCTTCCACATCCCTAACTAACCTACGTTGCATTTACTACTGAAAACGTCAAAGCAAAAAACAATGGCTTGGCGAAAAGATGCAACCCTAGGTGCGGACAATATACACCCAAAATCCCTGATATTTTTGGCAAATCACATATCCGAACCGCTAGCCATTCTGTTTCAACGAATGTTCGATCAAGCAACACTCCCCGAATCGTGGAAACAAGGAGTTATTTCGCTCATATACAAAGTTGGTTGTCGTAGTGACCCCGCTAATTACCAACCTGTAACCCTGTTTCCAGTGTTATCGAAAATCATGGAGTCAATTGTGGCAGATTCTCTGATGGAACACTTCGAACGATACAGCATTCTTCTGACAGCTCAACACGGGTTCAGGCAAAAGCGATCCTGCTCCAACAACCTACTTCTTGTTTGAGATGAATGGACCCGAACAGTCGACGAAGGGGATGCGGTAGATGTGATTTATCTCGACTTCTCGAAAGCATTCGATCGGGTGAATCATCGAATCTTGTTACAGAAGCTCTACAGTTACGGCATTCGAGATTTCGTGTTTGGTTGGATTAGAACATTCCTCCAACAACGGACCATATCAGTTCGTGTTTCTGATTCCATATCCGGATTTATCAATGCCACACCTGGTATTCCACAAGTGTCCGTACTCGGTCCCGGTTTTTTCCTCGCATTCATCAATGATCTACCGAAAGTGTTAGGTTCAAAAACAACACAGTTTGCAGTTGACGCCAAAATCTGGAATATGGTGGCAGGTTCCGATGGCTTTCTAACACTTTAAGAACCAATTAACGCAGCTTATCAATGGTCTAAGTAGAACGACATTATATTGAATGTGTCTAAATGTAAACTCCTATCCCTACACCACAAGAGAAAATTCTCGTATTTCCTCGGAAATCAGCAGCCACCACAAATTTCCAGTGAAAAAGACTTAGGTATTGTTGTTCAAGAGAATTTAAGCCGCTCCATCAATTGTGCTAGGGCTTCATCCGCTGCTGTGAAGAATGTCGGCTTACTTCGGCGAGTCTTTGGCCGGTTTGAATCATCACTATTCCCACGTTTGCTATCAGTGTGCATTCTACCGCACGCCATCCAAGCTTGGAGCCCATGGTTGCAACGTGATCGCAAGATGCTTGAGTGCCCACAAAGGATGGCCACCAAGATGTTCAAGGGATTGCATTACCTCACCTATGAGGAGAGATTACGATCATTAGGACTATATTCCGCTCAGTACCGCCGAATGCGGGGAGACTTGATTTTGAAGTATCAAATACTACAGAACCCAAACCATCCGTGTCAATCGCTGCTCATGTTATCGAACAATGTACACCTTAGGAGACACCGTCTCAAGTTAATGATTCCAAAGTGTCGACTGGAGTGCCGGCGCTAAACGTTTGCAGTCAGAATATGCAGTACTTGGAACACTTTTCCATCTCACGTCGTTTGTGCACCAACTACTGAATCTTTCTAGCGGAGATTCGATGAAACCCTGGTACATCTCACATTCATACACCAATAAAGCGAATGCAAATTTATTGAAGCTTACATTCTCTATAATTTCTTATCTAAAACTATGTGATTTTCTTTCGCCGTGAAACGATTCAATTGTGTAAATATCCTATGGAGACAAGAGAGGCATTAGCTTGTAAATAATTCCCATAATAAAGCTTTGACTTAACTCTGCTCTTCATCGCACAAAATATGTGAAATAAAAGAAAGCTTGTTCCTTGTATCAGTGCTCAAGATGCGCTAATTCTCTCCCGGCGATCTTATATTTTTACACTGTTGATTGAAAACTGAATAAGTTTTGCGAAACAAATTTGTCCAGTCTCAATGGAGAGAAAAATCTTCATAACCACTTATGAAGAAAAGTGTCAGTGGTGAAGAGGATCAGATGAAACGCGGCCGAATCTCGGCATGAATGCAACAACAGCATCAACTGCCCACCTGGTCATACAATAAATGTGATTTATCCGAGAATAAAAAGCATTTGGGCGAAAAATTCGAATTTTAAAAGCCTAATATTTTGGGGAACTGACTGAGCTTGTCATTATTTACCGATGGGATTATGTGTTTGTCACATGAAATGTGAACCGAAATGCAATTTGTCTTTTGTTGTGCAGTTCCGGAACAACAATCGTATCAGCTGTGAAATGAACATGGGGGTCTCATGGTGCCAGAAATCAAGAAATGATTACTCGGTCCAACAAAACATTACGGTGCAGAACGAAACGCAAAAACATTCTGTGACTGCACTTGTCATGTGTTTATCGAAACAGTTAAAATGTTTAATTTTCGAGCTGCTTTCTCGACCGCGCAGGCTGAAAATTGAAAATAAATTTGGCTCAGCTTCAATGAGTTCAGAGAGATTTCACGGAAACCAAAAATTTAATTGTTCCCAACCATCAGAACGAATGATTGGCCCCGAAGACACTAACACTTTGCAGCAAAGTCAAAAGGACGAATGCAAGTAAAGAATGTTGTTTACAGGTCAGTGTTCTTCGAAAATACTGCTCCATCAGCTGCTGACTGTTCGTTTACTGGGTGCACTTCAAAGTCTATGCAAATTATCTATGCAAATTCCACACCCCAATCGAACATATTTCGGGTCCGCTTTATTTTGGTGACCCCAATCGGTACACTCAAGTGTTGATTGGATGTTCGACATCATCCACTCAGACCCTAGTGACCACACACACGTTTGTTGGGTTCTTAAAGAACAACCAAAATTTGAAAAGCCATTTGTGAGCTATCTGATTAGTAAACGTCGTAATGTGATAAACAATGAAAGAGTTAAATCCCATGGTCACCAACGAGTGCCAACGAGTTCCTGGCGGTGATTCATATTAGGCCATTATGTGATACATACGGTATTTCACTGAAATACATCACCACTACCTAACGTCAACTTGCAATTTGCAGGGCATGGCTGGATCTCAAATCTTAGTGTTTAAGTCAGGCCAGGGACAGCGACTTAAATCCTTGCACCGCTTAGAACTGGAACGGCCGATGTGTCAGACCACCACCATCACCACCACCACCACCACCACCACCACCACNCACCACTACTACTACTACTACTACTCACAGAAAACCCAGTTTTATCCTCCAGATCAGAGACCGGGATGTTTGTATGCTCACTGCTTCTTCTCCCAGCCGTCGGGCGAGAACACGGTGGACTATTCTGTGATTGACAAGACCGGTGACTGGCGGTTGTCACTCGAGTCGGTTTTGTTTCGGGAACCGGGGCGAGATAGAATCCGAAATTGTCATTGGGAAACTTTATGGAATGGTATCTGCAAGATGAATTCATTCATTAATCATAAATTTAAAAAAGAATACATTTTCAGTGCATTTGGTCTTGGAATTTCTGATGAAACGTTGCTGTCTTTTAGGAAAATGCTCACGGATATGACATTCGTTATCCCAGAATATGTGGTTAACAACGAGGTGGTTAAGGATCTTGGTGCACCACGACATCTCAAAATTCACCCCGTTTTGACCATCCTCACAGATAAACAATTGCTTATGTACGCCAAATTCCTTATTATTCCATTGTAACAATACCTCTTTACAGGTATGAATCATTCTGTTGTAGAAAATCGTCGTTTACGGAGCCATGGAAATTTGATCGCGAACACCAGAGACAAACGACTCCACGGTTGTTTCAATCTGGTAGGATATAATTGGAAACGATCGATCATTAATTGAATTTCGAGTCCATCGCACTAGCTGTTTTTTCTGCTGAACTGATCCGCTTTGTTTTTGAGAGATGCCGTTACGCGTTTAACAGGGGGCAACTGGCTTTGAACACACAAACGTATATCACTGGAATTTATCATTTCCAACTTGAAATACACGCCCAATGAGGACATTTCCATCGATCTTTGGCGCATGAGATAATCGGTGTACCTGATAATACATATGCATTTATATATTTAATAATAAGTAGTTTATGATTGATCACACAAAATTCCCCTGGAAGCCCACGACCGGTTTCGCGGCTCTTGCCACCCGTCAGGCATGCGTATCCGGTAATCTTTTGTCAGATTATTCATATACGTGTGCCCAGGAATTGTATTTTTGTCACAGTAACCTTGTTCGCAACACCGGTTGACGCATGCCTGACGAGCGGCAAGAACCGCGAAACCGGTAATGTGCTCCCAGGCTAATTTTGTCAAGTCATTCACATACTACTTATTAGGAAACATTCGGTAAAAATGCTCACGTCACGTTGGTTGCGGTTAGTAGCATCTAACCCACCTACAAAACATCTAATCATGGCGTTGATCCTTCAATGGGCTGGCTCTGAAAGAGCTGTTTAACCAAAAGTCACCCGATGTTGCAAACAGGGTTATTGTGACGAATATATATAAATATATATAATATATATAACATGCTCATATATATATGTATATATATATGAGCATGTTATAATTGATTTGGAATTGAAGCAATACTCATGTCGAACAAACCTCCAGATTATTAACAGCCAGATTCAACATGTGTCCAGCTGGATCAGCAGTGAATAGGCATTGAGTAAGTACAAAGCCGATCTGAGAAGATCAACTATGTATATGGGATCAGACATTAGCAAAACCGAGTTTATTTTGGTTCGTACAATAATCCGTCATTGATCGCGTGTACAGAACCCATTCGCTGTGTCGCATGCTGTCTATTTGCTCGTTTTATATCAATCCACTTCTAGGATTTTCTCGTAGGAGAGACTTTATGAACTACCATACATAACTCGAATGTGTTCTGCTGTCGGAGATATTGTACAATTGTACTGCACCGAGGCTCCAAGCCATTCTTTAACAGTGTATATTGACATTAAACTTGAATAAATACACAATATGTAAATGAAATCAGATTGACTATTTCACTGTCTGCAAATGATTCTCTCTCTGTCCAGGAGACCCACCTTCTCAACGAACTTCTCCGTTTTCGCGCCGGAGTCCACGAATATGCAACTTTCCTGGTCGCAGCCTTGTCCAATGAGACTCGAAAATCAGCAGCTATGTTCAATCTGTCCACATCGGGCAAAATTCCTCTCCTCCCATTCGGCCTGGCACGGCCAACGTCATGTTGTCTCACATCTGCGGATTGTTCCTCGTCCGGACTGATGTTAACCCCGTCGCTGGGACTCCCGTCGTACGTGGGGATCAGATTCGCTTGGATAATTTCATTGTACACTATCGACAAGAAATGAAATGGAATAAACGTAGGGAAAGTGATATAAAGCTCCATCGTGTATACCGTGCTTCATTTTGAAGTTACTATTTATCACGCGGCCGGATGGCAAATCGAACACTATTGAATCTCAAGAAAGAGGTTGGGAAATTTTGATCCATTTGATGGGAGTATAAGGGGCCGTGCATGTATCGTTCTGGTAGTTTTTTTTAAGAGTGCAGCATTAACACTAACGTGTCCAAAATCAACGCAAATACTGGAATTTAAGTTGTTTTGTATTCTAAGCGTTTGACGTGAATTCTAATTGTCCGAAACAGTAGCTCTGGCTTAGTCTTGGTCCAGATGCAGTCATCTTTTTAATAAACAAGTATACGTGCTTTGCTGACCAAAGAGTCCAGAATAAATCCAAAGCTGGCCCAATCTTTATAAAGACATTGTGGAAATGGCAAATGATCTACACCTTTTGTTATCACGACTTAGCTTAAAACCCGGAATGCTTTAGCCATGACCCGTAGTCCTTTATCCTCAATGCACAAAATTTAGCCATACCGCTGTAGGTGAGTCAAATTAAAAGGTATAGGAATATACTCTGAGAACAACGAATGTTTAAAAAAAATATTTTCTACAAATGTTGATATTGTAAAACTCGGTTAAGAAATGAGGGTGACGGCCGTTTATTGCACCACATATCGATTGGAGAAGGTATAAACAATATGCCCGTATCCTCGAATCTTTTGACATTTTTAACTTTTGAAATTTACATTCAAAAGCCCTTACATGAATCAAAAAGTGATACCACAAAATGTAAATGCCTACTGTTCCGTATCTCCTCTTACAGTGAACTCCCTTCTTGAAACGTGAAGAGCGGTCAAGGATAATAAACACCGTTCACAGAAGCTCCCCCCTCCGCTATTTCACCGTTTCTTATCATGCATTAAACAAAACTTGTAATTCTCGAGCTTCGATCGTCTTTATTATTTCAAATGTTGCAGCAGTAATAAACTGATGATGGGTGTGTATTTTTGTGAACAGTGTTTTTTATCCTCGGGCTATTAATATACCCAATTCTCAAAAACGGAGTTCACTCTAAGTAGAGATACGGCTGAGGGATTGTTGGTTTTGGCTAAAGCTTGATGGGAAAAGGTGTATTGTGGTCACTTTTGTGACCAAATAGGAGATAGTCCATGTCAAATTAGTAATGCAGAAAATTTAAATTCGAAAATTGCGGTTAAATGGAACCATGTTTAAGCGGCGGGTTTCTGTTGGAGATTAAAAGCAGGTTTGTTAGTCGTCCTGATGTGCATCCGGCACAGCTCCGGGAGCTGGTATACTCCGCCAATCTTACAACGACCTCAATTACCTTTACTAAACATTTAAGCAGTTAAAATTATTCCAATTTGAAAACCTCACCATTCCATTCAGGCGCGATGTTTCTCATCGTGAGACAAGATGCTTTGGGTTTCATTCTTGCAATACATGTCTGTTAGGAAAAATCTTCAATTCGGGATTTGTCATGGCATATTATTCAAATTGTTATTTGACAGATTTGAAGTTTATATGCCGATTGTGAAAAGTTCAATAGCCTTGGTGGGACTCGAATCCAATTTTCACAATCGACATAGAAATTTCAAATCTGCCAAACAACAATTTAAACAATTAACCTTGCCTTAGAAGCTCATTCGGTGGACTCTGGTGAATTCTAAGGAAAACCTATGGGGACGGTCAGCTTACACGATAACTGGTGGATAGTATATTACTCTCTATCGGTCCGGTATCAAATTGACCACTTGCGCCTAATATGGTTCAACCAATCGTGAGTGTCCGTTGATGGTTTATCTGTGATGACGTTTTACGGATGCAGACAAATGCTGCGGCGTTTGGGTCGGCATAAAGAAACCTGGGAACGGATTCACGCGCGCGTCTTTGAACAAGGGGGAGGGAGTATTTCCAAGATCAGTATCGATGATGTTGAGACTGGGTTGTAAAAAATGTAGAAAGATTTCACAGAGATGAGATGAGATTCCACCGGTTTGAGAGATTAGGGTATACCCATATACCAATCCTTACAGCTACGGCACCAACGTACCCACGGGTTGATAGAATAAAACAAGAAGAGAAGGAAAAAAAGTGGTTTTAGAGTGGAGAATAACAAATCTGGAATAAAGCAAGTGTCAGTTTATAACCTAAACATTCATCTGAACTGCCACTTCGATTCTCGAGGACTGTTGGTTCTATGTGACTCGATATGTGAACAAACAAATTGACGAAAAGATAGCATTTGGAACACACACACATCCTTTATCATTGATTGACTTCTGTTCTTTTGTTCATTAACGGTGGTTTATCGGCAGCTTTTGTTCTGCCGGGAAAGTACAACCGGTTGGTTGTCTGACAGAACACGCGCAAGCTTGAGGACAACAAAAATTCTGCAAACTGAGACTATCTCTAGTCGACATGAATTTGGAAAACAAATTACTTTGACCAAAATTGAAGCTGTATCATATTGATTCATAACTATGGAAATCACGGAATTCAGTACCCACTTAAACTTTGTATTTATCTGGTACGGATATTGATTTTTCCCAATAAATTATGGCTACTAGAATAATCTCAACGCCCTGCCAGTTGATTGATATTTCTGTGCTACGGTAAGCTTCATGTAAGGATGCAACTTGATGAGAATCACTGGCATTGAAAGGCAAACACTGCTTCTTATAAGCTTACACTAAGTGTGACAGATGCGCCTTTATCATCACCTGAGTTGACAGACTTGGTGTCGACGTTGTCCAGACGTGACTGTGGTTGATGTACTCTGCCATTTCTGGTACGTTTTTACCATCAACATCTTCAGCATGTTAATGTCTCCTCTTCTCATGAACAGAGTTTACTTATGTATGCAAAACGATGTACTGTTTGTTTTAAACTTGATATTTTTGCTCATAAGAGTATCGCATGCTTTACGGAAACACTGAAGCTGTACAAGATGTTTCAAATGGTCTGACGACACGGGCACATTGGTTAAACCTTCTCCAGTCAACATGTGGTGTAGCGTGCGATCCCCGCACCTTCTTATTTCTTAACCAAGCTTTACAACATTAACATTTGTAGAGACTAAAATGTTTCAAAATTCTCCAGGGTGAATTCATCTTATATATAGCAAATGAAGCTTGAACTGAAAAGCTAGGAAGCATTGGACAGCTGTTTCGACCTGGTTGGGTCTCGTCAGTAGTGCGAATCCATCGACCCAACTGAGGATCGAACAACATTCGTTGACCTCAGAATATATTCCGCTCCTTTTTGATCTGACTCGCCTACAGCGGTGTAACTAAAGGTTGTGCGTCAAGACCAAAGGACTACGGGTCGTGGCT